TCTACAGATGAAGAAAAGAGAGGAAAGAAGAGTCAGAGCTAGAAGGGGCCCCAGAGTCATCCAGGTCAATGCACTCATTTTACAGATAAGGACTCTGAGGTACACTGGGAAGAGTCCTGGAGTTAGAAGATCAGGGCTCCTGGGAAAATCATGATATTTCCTTATGCTTTAGTTTCTATTTATGAAGAAGAGTCTTGTAAATCTTAAACTGTTAAAAGAAATAAGAGTTATTTTTATTGAGCAAGGTTGCAAGTTAGTAATTAACAGAGTTGGGTGTTTGAATCCAGAACATTTGGTGCATAATCTAGTACTCCTGGAATACCTGAGAATTTAGAGCCGCTATTTCCTCCTTTACCCCTGTCTCACATGAAGAAGGGGCCTTCCTGCTTACCAAGGCCCACCCGTCCACCCAGAAGTGGACCCATTCCTTCCCATCTCCTCCAACATATTGTCCCCTCTTGTCATCCCCAGCCTAGTACTTATTTTCAATCTCTCCTTATCTAATGGCCCCTTCTCTACTGCCTATAAACATGTTTCGTATCTCCCTCATACGCAAAAACCCTTCATTTGATCCTTCCCTCCCTGCTAACTCTTGCTCTACATCTCTTCTGCCCTTTGTGGACAAATTGCTTCAAAAAGCCATCTGCAGTAGGTGCCTCCACTTTCTCTCCTCTCACTCTCTTCTTTGCCCTTTATAATCTGGCTTCTGACCTCATCATTGCACCGAAACTCTCTCTTGAAAGTTACTAATGATTTCCTAATTGCCAAATCCAATGGCCTTTTCTCAGTCCTTATTCTCCTTGACCTCTCTGCAGCCTCTGACACTGTTCATCAGCCTCTTCTCCAGGCTGCTTTCCTAGACTTCATGATCTAGAGAAACTTATTCTGCAAGAAGAAATCAACTCTGAAACTCTCACTTCCTCAGATCATCTGGCACTCCTGGCTGCAGGGCTTCAATCCCTCTTTTCAGGTGTGGTCTTCCCCCATTAAATTGTGAGCAGGGATTGTCTTACGTCTTTCTTGTATCTCCTTTGCTCAGCACAGTGCCTGGCACATAGAAGGTGCTTAATAAATGTTTAATGACTGACTCTGATACTCTCTTCTCTCTAGGATCTTGGGACACTATCCTCTCCTGTTTCTCTTCCTACCTGTTTGACCACTCTTCCTCGGTCTGCTTTGCCCATCCTCACCCAGGTCATGCCTTCTAACCATGGGTGTCTACAGGGTTCTGTCCTGGGCCCTCTTCTCTCTACTTTACTTGGTGATCTCATCAGCTCTCATGGATTGAATTACCATCTCTTATGCTGATGATTCTTAAATCTACCTATCCTGTCCTAAACTCTCTGTTGACCTCTGATCTCACATCTCTAATGGCCTTTTAGACATCTCAAAGTGGATGTTCAGTAGACATCTTAAACTCAACATGTCCAAAACTGACCTCACTATCTTTCCCCCTTAAACCTCACCCTACCCTTTCTCTTTCTGTCAAGGGCAACACCATCCTCCCAGTCCCTCATGCTCCCAATCTCGGGTCATCTTTGTTTTCTCACCTCCCGTATCCAATGTGTTGCCAAGGCCAGATTTCACCTTTGCAACATCTCTCTAGGATGCTCCCTTCTCTCCTCTGACACTGCCACCAGTCTAGTGCAGGCTTCATCACACCACGCCTAGATCCTGCAATAGCATGCTGCTGAGTCTGCCTGCTTCAAGTTTCTCCCCATTCTGATCCACTCTCCTTTCACCGATCATGTCACTCCCCCAAGACACTCAGTGGCTCTCCATTGCCTCCTGGATCAAATATAAACTTCTCTTTTGGCATTCAGAACCCTTCCTAATCTAGCCCTCTCCTACCTTTCCAGTGTCTTACATGTACTCTTAGATTAAGTGACACTCACCTCCTTGCAGTTCCTCAAACAAGACACCATCTCTCTGCTCTGGGAATTTTGTCTGGCTGTCTCCCATGCCTGGAATGTTCTCCTTGCGTTTCCCTTATAATTCAAATGCCTTCTTTCTTTTAATTATTTCCCATATATTGTCTGCACAGATTTGTTTGCTTGTTGTCTCATTAATTAGATTATAAGCCCCTTGAGGGCAGGGACTTTTGTTCCTTTTTTGTATCCCCAGTGCTTAGCTCAGTGCCTGGCACATATTAGGTGCTCAATAAATAAATGATAAATTTAGTGAGTTAAAGGTCAAAGGATTGGCTGGAGATTCTATAGTGAGTTGGTAGAAGAGTAGGGACTAAAATCCATATCTCAATCCTCAGTCCAAGGCTCATTCCATACCACCAAGAAAGGAGGCTCCCATTCAAGCAGGAGGAAGCCTGAGGGGAGGGAGTCGGTTGCCTGGGGAGTAACTGTGTGTCTTTGGCATTCTGCGCTCTTGGAGCACTTCCCAGAGGCAATGAATGAAATGGGTGATTTGGGGCTGGTACCTACACATCCCCTGAGCAGAGAGCCACTTTGGGTTACATTAAACAGGCAATCATTTTTCCTCTGGCTGAGATCTAACATTAGACAGTTTGAAATGGATATTTGGCTCTGCCATTCCTAGAAAGCAGCATTGTGGAGAGCCCACACTGACTGCATCACAATGTCAGGGGTAAAGAGCCTTTGGAGAACAGCTTGACCTCTTCCATTCTCTTCCTCTCACAGGAGGTAAATGATGTTCAGTAAGAGGAAGGGACTTCGCTCAAGGCTAGCTAGTGATGTAGCTGGAAACAGAATCCTCACTTCTTCCTCAAACTCTAGGGCTTTTCCCACTATGCCATGCTGCTTTCTTACCTCAGAGTTTGGAATTTATTCCTTCTAATACCCCAGAGGGATCGGTGGATGAGTTCTTTGGCATGGCAGCTCTTCTGGCAACCAGAAGAGTCAGGGCCTGTCCTGGGTTAGGATGGCCACACTAGTACCCCCACTCACCCCAAATATCTCATAATGGAATTCTTTTTTTTTTAAACAAATCCTTGTTTTCTCCTATTCCTTTTTTCCCCCTTCCATTTCTTTTTTCATCTCTCTTGCCCTCCCCTCTCCTTCCATCTTTCCTCCCCTTCTCCTGCCATTTCCTCTTCCTTTCTTTCTCCTACCCTTCCTTCTTCCCTATCTCATCAGCCCTCCCCCACTTCCTCCTTCCATCTGCCTTCCCTTCTTTCTCCTCTCTCCTCCCCTCTCAACTTTCTGCCCTTTCTTCCCTCCTTGTCTCTTTTCATTGCCTCTCCCTATCCATCTCCCCTCTCCTCTTAACTTTCCTCTTCATCTCCTCTTACTTGTCCTCTCCTTCTCCCCTTCCCTTCTCTTTTCTTCTGCTCCCCTCCTCTCCTTTCTCCTCATGTCTCTTTCCCGCCCCTATTTTTTCCCCTTCTCCTCTTCCACGTGTTTCTCTTATCTCTTCCTTCTCATTTTCCCATGGTTTCTAACTTCAGAAGACAGGGGGCAGAGGCCTTTTACAGGGATGGGGGGAGGCAAGAGGAAGGCACTATATATATATATATATACCCCTCTAGGACAGCCAAACTTACCGTTTCTCTGTCCCCTTAGCCTGAGTTTGCACCGTGTTCATTTCCACATGCCCAATATCCACTTATCTGAGAGCTCTCCAGTCACAGTAACTAGCTCCAGTCTGGGCACGTAACAGGTGCTTCAATAAATGGAAACAATTTCACGGTTCCTATCTGTTAGCCCTGGACTCTCTGCACTAGAATTAAGCTGCCACGATTTTGAAACACAAGCTGTCCCTCTCCCCCTGCATGTTTCCTGACTTGATACACCACGTGGCCATGCTGGGATGATGTCATGGCTTCTGGGGGTAACATCAGAGGCTGGGATAGTGGCTCCTCACATCACCGGAGCTGAATTCCACTGCTAAGAACCTTAGGAAGCCGGGGCCAATTTTGTTTCCTGGCCAGTGCCTTGGCTTGGGAGGCAGAATGAGGTTCCCATCCCAGCTGCCACAAATTAACTAGGAGATATTGGACGAGCCATTCCATTTCTCTAGGTCTCTACTTCCCCATCTGTGACATGGACAAATACAAACCCTCGTTCTGCCTCTGAAAGCAGCTGATGTCAAAGTACCCTGAAAAGCAGAATGTTCCACACAAACATAAACAGATACTGCTGTTAAGTTCCTCATCCAAGCTAGGGTCCACAGAGATGCTGATTCTCATTTTCTTTTACACTTACTTAACTTGAGGTTTAACAAGTTTAATTCCTCTATTTTGAAAGGCACAAACTCCTCAGGTTCGGAGAATAAGAATAATATTAGCCAGCATTTATATATCGCTTTAAGGTTTGCAAAGTACTTTTACAAATGTGATCTCATTTGATCCTCATCAACAACCCTGGGAGGTGGGTGCTATTATTATCCCTATTATTTCTATGAATATCTTCACATTATCCCACAATCGAGGAAACTAAAACAGATAAAAGTTAAGTGACTCGCCCAGGGTCACACAGCTAATAAATGTCTGAGGCTGGATTTGAACTCAGGTCTTCCTGACTCCATGTCCAATGGTCTATCCACTACACTACTCTTTCAAACCCTTACTCCAGGAACATAACCCTCTCGGTTAGCTAAGAAGCACCAACCTACCCAACAGGATGGGAGGCTACACTAGCTGACGTGTCAGGTGCCTTCTAGCCCTGACGTGTCAGAATTCTACTGTTTCTTAGAAGTATTCGTTAGTTGTACAATTTACTTGATACTTTCCATCTCTGAGCCCCTCACTTTCCTAATACTCAAAGTGAGAGGGTTGGGTCAGAAAATCTCTAAAGTCCCTTTTACCTTGAGACACCATAATCTTCTAAGTACAAGGAGCTCAGTTTCCAGGAATGGAGCACAGCTTCTGCCCTGAGAACAGAAGTCTCCAAGGACTGTTTACCAAGAGCCATCCCCCTGGACCAGCAGCACCCTTTCCTCCACCCTCACTCGTAGGGCTGAGGCAAGCAGTGGTCCTAGAAAAGAGCCGGGTCTGGGCTGGGGCTGGGGTGGCCACATGTACTCACTCGCTCCAGGTCCTGCCGAAGATGAGTGAACAGCTTGAGCCGCCGGTATAGGATGTCCTGCTCTTGCTGAGCTAAATTGTCCACTTCATCGGTTTTGGGGGTCAAGAGGGGCTTGTTGCAGTTAGATTTCCTCTTGAGCTTCCAGTACTGGTAGACAAAATCCACAAGGGTCTCAGAAAGGTCCAAGTTCTCTGCCACCTCTTCAGGCTTCACAAGCTCGTAGAAGGCCTCTTCTAGCTGCTGCAGCTTCTGTTTCCTCAAGGTCACCTTTTCCAAGTCCAAGGCAGCCTGGCTGGGCTCAGACACTGAGCCAGCCTCTCCCCTTATTCCCCGGGCCTCCTCGGGGGGCTTAGGAGCCCCACTGCTATGCTCTAGGCAGAAAGACTTGAATTTCACTTCATCATTATCAGCTAATATAGTCCTCATTTCCAGGTTGTGGTCAAAGGCGCATGTGACGTGGAAGGCAGTGATGCAGGATGGCATAGAACACTGTCAGGAGAGAAAAGGACATGTTGGATTCCACCCAAAGCAAAGAACATGGTCAGGAGATTCAAGGAGATACCCACACCCAGCACCCAAAGCAAAGAACATGGTCAGGAGATTCAAGGACACACACACACACACACACACACACACACACACACACACACACACACACTCTCCTAGGGGAATGGAGGTGAACCTAGGTATCTAACCCTTCACCAGGCTTCAGTGTTCACCCGGTGGCCACATGCACTTTTGCAGGGGGCAATGGGACAAGTCCGAGGCCTGTGGGCCCAACCTGGTGACCTGACATTCTGAGAACTGATCTTAACTGAAAGAATCCAACTGTCCCAGGGCATGTCAGGTGCTGCTTTACAACTCCTGCTGCTAACCATCTTGTCTCCTCCAAGAAGTCTTCCTCAATGAATGGCAGACCACAGGGCTCTTTCACTTATGTGAAATCTAGAGCCACTCAGGAGTTTGAGCCACAAACATTAAGACTTGGTTAAGCTCAGTCACATAATATTCTCAGTTCCATGGGATTTGCAAGATACTGTGCTAATAATAAGATTTAGAGCTTGAAGAGACCTTCAAGACCACTTGTCCACCCACTATTTTAGAGATGGGGGTGAGGGGACTTACATAGGCTCATGCAGATAGTAAATTACAGAACTGAAATTTGAACCTGAGTCCTTAGACTCAAAACTCATTATTCTTTCCAATAAGCTGGATCTGGGTGAGGTGCTGTAATAACCATACAGAGTCCTATTTTACCAAGCAGACTGGGATCTCCCTGAAGGCAAGACATCTAATCATGAATACGGGCATATGGACGGGCACATAGTAGGAAGTCAGTGCAGACATGCTGAATGACCTAAATAAGACCTGTTTTGGCCAGCAGCAGGTGGTGATGCCAAGGCCTCTTCTCCCCTCCAGCCCCTGAGGCTTACCTAGCATCACTTTCAAGTTCACTCCCAGGTTTGTCAGGGAACCCTCCAATTAAGATTATCAAGTTATTAACAAGCACTTATCAAATATTTACTATGTGCTATTCCCAGCAAAGGGGTGAGAATACAACGTGGGAATGCAAATGAAACAGTCCTTGCTTTCAAGAAACTTAAATTCTATGGGGGAAGACAACTTATGTAAGCATAAAGGGAAGAAATATAAAATAAATACCAGATACGTTGGGGATGGAGGGCATTGGTAGTTGGGGGAAATCTAGAAAGGCTTGGAGTGTAAAGTGGCACTTAATTTATACTTGATAAAAGTAAGGAATTCTCTTCAGTGGAGGTGAGAAAGGAGTTCATTAGAGCCGGGGCAAATGCATGGGGATGAGAGATGGAGCAAAACATGTGAGAAAGGCCAGTCTCACTGGATTATAGAGTCTGGAAGGAGAGTGAGGTATAACTAGGCTAGACAGGTTATTATGACCAACCTAATTAACACAGAGGAGCAGAGATGTTCCTTGATAGAAATTTCATTTATTTTTAAGTCATATTGTTGGCTATCCATACATAGAACTAACCCTTGACCACTAGTAAACATCCTGTGGGTAATTTTCACTCTGGGGCTGTGTGTAGGTCAGCCTCCTTCAAAGTACAATTCTCTTATCTATGGTCCCTGAGCAACCCTGATGCTTCACCTCAGTCCCCTCAATGAAGCTTTTTGCATGGAGGGCCACAGGTTTTAATTGGCTTTTGCTTTCACAAAGGCAATTAAAGGAAGGAAATCAACTGTGTTCTCTTGGAAATCAGAAGTGACCACAATTCACTTAGTGAAGCCCTGCTAACAGCTGAGGCACTGCTGGGAACTTATCAAAGCGGCAGAGCTTCCCTCCCCTTGCAGGAGGGCAGCTGCTCACACTCTATCCACCCGGGCAGCCAAAACTTCCAGCCCACTTCCTCCATGGCCCTCAGGGAAGCCCATTTCCCAGCTAGAGGAGACCGTTTCTTCGTAAGCGGCCAGCCTCGGCTCAATTCATTAAAAGGCAACTTTAGAGCTCTGGGCGGCAGGTGTCTGTTTAAACAACAGCCCACAAGAAATCTGCCTATTCCAGCTGTTAATGGCCAGTTAAGCTACACTAACAAGCCGTTTCTGAGAAGCTGATTACTGGAGATCCCAGATTTACCAATTTTCATAAAGCTACTCTTCAGGAAAAGAGGCAACTGCACAGCCCGTTAGGTTCTCTGCATCCTGCTCTGTGGTGGTGAAGTCACAAGACTTTTAGACTCAGAGGTTCTGGGTTCAGAGACCAGTCCTACTACTTACTGTCTGTGTGATCTTGAGCAGCCCCCTTTCAGGGGCTTTTCCCCCCATCTCTATAAAGCAAGGGAGCTGGATTAGACTATTTACATAAAGTATGTTTTTTAATTATGGGCAAGAGGTAGACATTTAATGGCAGCTAGGTAGCACAGTGGATAGAGTACTGGACATGGAATCAGGGAGACCTAAGTTCAAATCCAGCCTCAGACACTTAGTAGCTGTGTGACCCTGGGCAAATCACTTAACCCTCTTTGCCTCCAGTATCTCTGCAAAGAAAATCCAAAAAAAGGGGTCACGAAGAGTTGGATACAACTGAAAATGACTCAACAGCAACGAAGACATAAAGTCAATAGAGGAGGATTGATTCTAGTTCTAAATCCTAGACTAACTGGTGAAGTCCCATGGAGGGAACCTGTCATCTAGCCACAGGGGAAAGTTTAATCTTTCAGACGCCTCACCGTGAATCAGAAATGACTGTAGATATACCAAAGGCGGGGTTTTTTTTTTCCTGTCAGGGGAAACCATTCTGATTGACTGAGTTCAATAGTTTATCTTTGCACTGGGCAAAGGCCAGTTTATATAACAACCCTTTATAGTCTCTGGGCTAGGGCTTCTACCATGGGCATAGCAGACAGAGACAACGGGTCTATCCCACTCACCAAGGAGACACATGGCAGACTGTGGAGGCCCAATTACTCTGATTTTCTGCACCTTTCCTATCCCATGCAGGGACAATTTTTTTTTATTGGCATCATGTTTTTTTAAAATATTTTGAGTTTTAGTGAGGTCTTTTATTGTTATATCATAGTAATTCCATGCTATACCCTTTACCAGTGAACTTTCTTCAGTAACAGAATTAAGCAAAACCAAAAAATACACCAACTATGTCTGGGTGTGAGCAACACCCCATACCCAGTTTTCCGCTGTCCAACAAAAAGGAGGTACGTTTATTTCCTCTTATCTTCTCCAGCACAAGGTTCTTTTAAAAAAAAGAAATAAATACCCTCTTACAAGTTAGTTAGATTTTAATTCTGTGCTGTCTGACATCTTAACAACATAGTACGACAGTGACTTCCTTCTTTCCCAGCAGGTCCTAGTCATCTTAGCCTTGTGCCCTTCATTAAGAGATCTCAGGCAAAACCACACTTAGGATCTTTTTGAGAAGTGATCTTCCTGCACAGTGCCACCAAAGTCTTCGGAGAGCAAGGACGTGCTTCACCCAATCCCACTCTCACTAAACAACACCATGATCTTCTCCAATTCTCTGAGCCTTTGCTTTGGACGTTCTCCTATCTGGTGTGCCCTCTCCATCACTACCTCTGTCCCATCCTTCAAGGCCCAGCTCCAAGCCCACTTTCTTAAAGAAGACTTCCATGACTACCTCTGCTCACAGGATTGTGCCTGACTTTGAACTCCTACTGTACTTGTCACATACAGCATCGTTGCCCAATTGTTTAAAGTGTACCTCGCCTCTCTAGCTAGCTGATCTCTCATGTTCCGCCAGGTGCTTAGCACTTCCAAAGAGTTCACTTAGAGACAGTGTAAGTGATGTCCAGAAGCTGTGTGAGCTTTGGGTTAATCACTTTTCCTGAGTCTCAGTTTCCTCATCTATAAAATGGGGATAGGTACGCTCTCTACTTTCCAGAGAGATTGAGGAAGGTGCTTTGTGAACCTTAAAGCACTAAAGAAAATGCTAGCTTTGGCTGTTTTTGTTGACTGGTGGGAAAAGCCAGCTTCTTGCTTTCCCCAAATTTCTTCCCTGATGCACCTTCTCCTTTTCCATTCTGGGGATGTGGTTTATCCCGGCCACTTGCCAGGGTAAACTCCGTATCAATGAACCCTGATGACAGGGGTGATAGCAGGGACCAGACTTTAAATCCGGAGCTTGAGCATCTGGAAGACTGCCGGGGGGGGGGGGGGGAAGGCATGTGGCTCATCAATGAAGCCAATCTGATATGTAAATCACCAAGGAAGAAAAAGCATGGGACTTCCACAATGCTGCTTTTAAGGAGTCATTTTTGCAGAGAGAACCATTCTTTTGGGTGGTTTTGCAAGCCATAAGTTTTCCTGATTGAGTTTTCTTGTCTGGTAGCCAAAATGGTAATTTCATTGTGCAAGCTAACCAGTGAATGACAATGTGTCTCTACTGGAGGAACATCTGGGGATGCTTAAAACTAAACCACTGGAAAGTTTCATGGTGTGGTGATAAGCTAAACTGCCTCTATGCGACACAACAAAGCTGGACCCTGAGAACAGACAGATTCGAGCTAACCAGACAAGCTTGGCTCACAGAAAGCATACAGCCACAATTTTTCCTTTCTTGCATCAACACAGTATTAAAATCTCTTTTTTCTCTGAAGGTTCCATCCTCCTTCCCTCTTCACCATGAATACTGCCTATATGCAAAGGTTCTGAGGGACGCAGAGAGGTCTGAGTCATCCGCAACTGTGGATGCCCCTGTAATCAAAATGAAAGCAAAGCTACAGAGAAGGGACTTCTATTTCTTTAATTAACAAATCTTCCTAGCCTCTTTCTGCACAAGTGCAACCATCACAGAATCATAGATTTACAGCTGTAAGGGACCTCAGAAATGACCCGCCTTGAAGAAATTAAGGGAAGCAGGGTTTAAACCTGCTCTTTTCCAAGGCATCGTGATGCCTCCACAGCTGATGTTAAGCCTGAGATGACAATGGAAGTTTCCTCAGTTTCCCCACCTGCAGAGTGAGGATAATAATAACAACTGCCACATCCATCTCCCCGGAGTGTTGAATGAAAACTAAAATTCTTTACTTGATCATGCCCAATGACCCTCCAGCCTTCAGGCCCTTAGACTGGCCTCCCAATCTAAGGGAAGCAGGCTCCCAAGGTAAAATGTTACCATGTTACTCCACTCAGGCTGAGTTCCTCTTTTGCCAGATGGCAAGTGGCACAGTTGTCAGTTTTCTATTCAAAAGGCAAATTAAAAAAGCCAAAAGCAAGTTCAACTAATACGGCATCAGCCAGTTAGCAGGAGCTTCTGGAAAAGGCAGGTGCGGGCATCACCACACTCTACCTACGGCCTCACCACCATGACTCTGCCTGTTTGGTTCAAGCCTAATTACTGTCTGTTCCACTCATTGGGCATGAGACCGCAGACAGTCAAGACCTCTCTCCCTTCCCATCTCTGCCTCTTAGAATAGGAAGCTGGCTTCAAGCTCAGTCCAGGTACTCCCTCTTACTCAAGGCCTCTTAATACCTGCTCGCCCATAGAGTTCTACTCTCCTCTACTCTAGAATTACCTTGCATACATTTTCTATTTACTTATCTGTGCCCACATTATTTTGACTCCAATACAATGTCAACTCTTCTGCGTGGTGCTGTCTCTGTATCGCCAGCACCTAGTATCATGTCTGGGACATTATAGACACTTCACAGATGTTTGTGGAATGGACGAATGAATGGACTGTGTGGCTCAGAACCTTTTCACTTTAGAGGTGGAAAAGCACGAGGCTCAGAGGGGTGAAGGAACCTATTCTGTTTGGTCTCCTCTTCCCTTTCCTGAACCACCCCATGTGATCTCCCAGACTCCATGGCAGGGTATCTATCTGGAGGTGGTGATGTACAGTGGAGAGAACTCCTGAAAGCAGAGTCCAAATCTTATTACCTCTGTCTTCTCCAACAGGCTCAGCACTGGGCTCTGTACAAGGACGTGCTCAGCAAACACTTGCTCTCTTCTGGAAAGGGTAGCTGGCTCAGGTCAGCTGGGGGGAGTTCTTGTTATCTGGGGATTCCTCTCTGCCACAGGTTTGGGCAAATCCCTATGAGTCAACTCAACTGGCTAGTGGTTCCTGTGTTTGTAGAAAATGCTGGGAGATGTCATTTTAGCTGGCTTACTATCTTCAAGGAAAGGCCATGTGCAGAGTGGATTGAGCACTGGATTTGGATTCAGAAAGCCTGGATATGAATCCTGCCTCAAGCAGTAGTTAATGTGGCCTTGGAGTTTTTTTTTTTTGGGTGAAGTGACTGGGTTTAAGTGACTTGCCCAGGGTCACACAGCCAGTAAGTGACAAGCGTCTGAGGCCGGATTTGAGCTCAGGTCCTCCTGATTCCAGGGCTGGTGCTCTATTCACTGTACCACCTACCTGCCCCTGTTAATGTGGCCTTGGAAAAGACACTTAGTCTCTAAACTTGTCTCCTCACCTGTAAAATGAGATAATACTGTAATATTATAAATTAAGATTAATATTGTGATATTATTGGCGGGCAGCTAGGTGGCGTAGCAGATAGAGTACCGGCCCTGGAGTCAGGAGGAGCTGAGTTCAAATCCGGCCTCAGACACTTGTCACTTACTAGCTGTGTGACCCCGGACAAGTCACTTAACCCTAAACTGCCTACATAACAAAAAACAAGAAGTAATATTACTGTAAGAAGTGATAACCTCACAGGGTTGTTGTGAGGATCAAATGAGACACGAAGCGCTTTATGAAACTTAAAGCATTGTGTAAATGTGACCTCATTAATTAGCCTGCTTTTGGCCCTGCATCTGAACTTGGCCGAGGACTATCTTCAGCAGATGTTTTGGGGCTGTTCTTTCCTCTATGATCAGCAAACTTCTCGTTGCTAACAATAATAACATTAATCATAACACGTTAATAGCAGTCATGATTATCTGATGCTCTGCTCACCTCTCATATGAAATCAGTTAGGGGTTCTTCTTACAGGTCCACCACCCTGATTATTTCTACTGCTACTACCCTCGTGCAAGGCTCTTATTACCCACTCCCAGGCTACGTGTAACAGCCCCCAACAGGCCTTCCCGCCTCAGATGCATCAAGATTAATCTTCCTTCAGTACAGATATGGTCATGCCATTCCTTTGCTCAGAGATCTTTAGGGGCTCCCTACTGCTCACTGAGTAAAAACCAAACCCCCCTACCTGGTATTCAAGGCTCTCCATGATCTGTGCCACCTGACTTTTCCAGGCTTTTCTCACTCATATTACTCTGCTCCACCAACTCTATGCTCCAGCTTAAGCTCCTATTTTCTCCATTCTCCTGCTTTTCCTGTGGTCCCACCCACACTGTTTCCTACGTCTGGAATGTCCTCTCTATCCATATTTGGCTACTGAGATTCTTTCCTTTAAAATCCAACTTGAATGTCACCCCTTCCAGGAAGTCTTCCTTGATTCCCCTAGAAATAATTACTTCACTTATATTTCACTAATTTTCCTTTCATACATTATGTATGACCTCAGAAGGCAGGGGCCTTCTTATGTCTTATCTCAACTCTCTATCTCCTCTAACACCAAGCATAAGACTGCCCACACAGTGAATGATTAATATGTATCTACTGAACTGAACTGAATTTTCCCTAATAAGTTCCAGCCTGGAATAATCATGCAAGCCTGCCAATTTTATTTTTCTCTCTTCCTTACTCATTATTTCACAAACCTGGAAATATCCCCTCCTTCCTCTGGTCCTTCATATTCTGTCTCTCCTTCACAGCCAAGATCTAGTCTTACGTCTTCGACAAGTCTTCCCTGACCACCCCAGTCTGCACCGGGGCCACCTCCCTTCTCTCTGAATCACCGCGGCTGTGCAGCCACACCAGAGAATGGCAGAACCAGGAGGAATCTTAGAGACGACCTTGTCCAACCAATGAGAAACCTGACTTGGTTCATGGTCATGCATGGAGTCAGATCATATACTGGTCATGTGGATGCCCTATCTCCCCAAACATACTGGGAGTTCCTGACTACAGGGTCCAGGTAGGCTCTTTGTGTCTTCCCAACAATGCAGCAAAGCACAGAATGGGCACACAGGTGTGCTCAGTGAGCTCTTTGCTTTGTACATCTTTAATGCACTGCATGTACTATTGCACATTATTGTATAATGTATGCAATATGTAATAGAGGGATTTGTGTATATGTTGCATCCTCTGAAATACACAGAAGCAAGAACTGCTTCTTATCTAAACTTTGCATCTCCCCAAGCGCTTCCCCTGTGCTCTGCACACAGCAGTTGCTTAATAAACGCTTGTAACTACTCTTGCTGCTTGTGGAGCTATCCAAAGGCCTCTATTTCCCGTGACAAAGAGCAGAAGTATAAGCAGCTTGAGGAGGGCAGGTGCTGTCTCATTTTTGTCTTTGTGTCTCCACTGACACACAGACGGCACTTAATACATGCTTGCTGATTGACTGATTTATCTCCGTTGCCCAGGAGTGCACCGCTGGCCAGGCGGGCTCCGTTCCCAACCTCATCCCCTTCCCGCACCATTCCGCCCCTCTCCCTCCAGGCAGCCAAGGCAGGAAAAGCCTTCAGCTGTGCATCTACCTGAATACACGTCCCTGTGCACTCCCGGCACAGACTACAGGACAGGGCCCACCGGCTTGCAGGGATGTGTGAGATCTTGGTGATTGGTTCCATCTTCTCTGGGCACCCAATGCTGACCTAGGCATAACACAGACAGAAGGGTTTGATTCCACGGGAAGGCAGGCCCACACTCCCTGCACTGCCTACTTATACCCAAGAAGTGCTCCTGGTTAACCCCATCAGACAAAGACCATGCTGCCACCCCACAACCTAGCCCTCAGTATTCCCATTTTTACTGTGTCAAGTTTTCACTTTGTTCTCTGCTAACTCTGTAAATGCTCTGAATCTTACTGTAACAGAAAGAACATCTTTACATAGTGCATTAAGGTTTACAGAGGCCTTTTCTCATACTATTTTAAGGCAGGCAGCGAGAGGATGATTTCCCTCATTTCACAGAAGAGGAAATTTGGGCTCTGAGGAATTAAATGATTTGCTCACATCTCACAAAGCCAGAAAATGGTAGAGCTGAGCTGATGCAAATTTAGGCCTCCAGGCTCCAGGTCCAGTGGTCTTTGCACAGCCTTATGGTACCTTTACTATAGTACCTTTCTCTACTACATCACTCTGTCTTCATAGGTTAACATGGTGCATCCCTGACTTGGCTGTAAGCTGCCTGAGGTCAAGCTATGCCCCTGCCATGGCTGACTCCCAGGGAAAACTCAAGAAAGACTATGGAATAGCTTCAAGCTACAGAAGGTCAAGGACTTGTGTTATCCCTAGCACCAAACAACGTACTACTATACACAGCAGGTGCTTAATAAATGTCCACTGAATTAAATTTTGGAAGTAAGGAGCATGAACATGTTTTTCCCACAAGCCAACAGCCACTGGAAATACAGTGAGAATTCTGACTCCAAAAGAATATTCTGCTGAGGACAAAGTCCTTGTCTCATGTGAACACAGAACTGGTCCTCAGAAAGAAGGCACAGAAAACATACCAGTCAGCTGACTTACCCCAAGACATGGGATTTTGAAATGAAACAACAGCAGCTTCTACTTCTGGTAGCATAAAGTTGTCAGGGAAAGCATCACCTGACTCGGATGATGCTTTCTCTTATTCCACTACAGACCCAATGCCACCAAAGAGCTGAGACTTAAGAAATGTGGACAATAGCCAGGAATGCCACAGTCTATGTCCTTTTAGTCAAATAGGCTATAATAGTTTCCTGTTCAGTGAACACTAATCCTCTCCATTTCCATTCAATTCAACAAGCGTTTAAGGGATTGAAGTATCTGCCATGGCCAAGATGTGCTGTGTACTTGACAGAGGCAATAGACAGTGGAGGAGGGACATGGGCAGACCTTCATCTCAGGAAGATTTATATAAAGGATGGACTGAACAGGGTAGAGAGACCAGAGGCCAAGAGACCTGAGAGGGAGATTTTTTTTTTATCTTGAGCTAAGTTTTATTTTTTTATTTTTACTTTTTGTTCTTTTTTTATTAATTTATTTTGATTTACCACCAATCACTTCCATATGCTTTTGAGTTTAAAATTTTTCTCCTCCTTCCTCCCTACCACCCTCCCCAAGATGGCGCACAATCTGATACAGGCTGTACATATGCATTCCTATTAAACATATTTTCACATTAGTGGTATTGCAAGTAAAAATTAAAACCAATAGGAGGAACCACCAGAAAGAGGAAACAAAACTCAACAGAAGAGAAAAAAATAGCAAATATGCTTCAGTCTGCATTCAAATTCCATAGTTCTTTCTTTGGATGTGGATAGCATTTTCCATCATGAGGCCTTTGGAAATGTCTTAGATCCCTGCACTGCTGGGAAGGGTTAAGTTTATCAATATTAGCCACCTCACAATGTGGCTGTTACTGTGTACAACATTCTTTTGGTTCTGCTGAGAGGCAGATGTTACAATACTGTGGAGACTTGATTGGGTCTGTGTCCTTCGAGTGATTCAATCTGAACAGGAGAGGATCAGGAGTCCCTGAAAAAGGCTGTACTCCTAGAACCTGCCTTGACTGGCCCGAGCCCAGCTCTTGTCCCTAATGTAACACTGGTCCTTGTCCCTGGAGAGCTGACATTACGAACACTTCTCTGCAGGCACAGTGCCTCCCCTACAGCATCCTCTGGGCAGGGGAAATGTTTAATAATAAAGACTGAGTAAACTGGCCAAGATGACAAAAGATGGGAATGGTCATTGTTGGAAGGTCTGGGGAGAAAGATGGGCATGTTAATACACTGTTCATAGAACTGTAAAGTGGTCCAACCATTCTGGAAAACAATCTAGAATTATTCAGAGTATGAATAAAAATGTTGATACCTTTTGATCTAGAGATGCCACTGTTAGGCATATACCATAAAAAGGGTACTGCCAAAAAGAAAGGCCCCACATACACCTATATAGTTGTAGCAGTGCCTACTTATAGTATTAAAAAGTGGAAACAAAGTAGATGCCTATCCACTAGGAATGACTAAATAAACTGTGATAAGTGAATGTCAGTATGCCCTAAAACTACAATAAAGTATGCAGATAAGGATAGAAAGACTTACATGAACTGATACAAAGTGAAGTAAGCAGAACCAGGAAAACAATATATACAATGACTGCAACAATGTAAATGGGAGGAACCCCCCCCCACCACAAAACAATCAAAAGTGAAGGCTAAGAAATGACAATGACCAAGCCTGGTCTTAAAGGGCTCTGAGAAGGCACCTACCTTGCTTGTCTGCAGCAATATGCCGACTATCGGAACCCTGCTTATAATATCAGACTTGTCTATATGTAGTTTAGTTTTGCTGAACTTTTCTTTTTTCTTCTTTATTATAAGAAATGAATCTCTGGCAGGAGGAGGTAGAAGGGCATGATGGGAAATGGAGGTGATACAACAACAACAACAACAAAATGTATTCTAAAAAATAATAAAAGCTGAGTGCCACCACTGAGGGTACTGTGTGCCCTACAGAGAAAGCTAAATTTAGAGGTCTGCGATACTAGGTCCCATCTCCAGGCTGTCCCTGGAAGCAGTAGGAAAGGGTTAGGATTGTGACCCTGTTCTCAGCATTAATTCCACTCAACCCCCAACCCCCAACTTTCTCCTCCTGTTTTGCCACCAGGGGTCGCTTGTGGTCCTGTCACCTTTTATCTAATGAGGTGTTAATAAATTTAGCTTAAGGGATGGCAGAAGAAGCTCTACTCTTATCAAGAAGTTAGATTCCTCTTCTTCAGCTCTGTAGGAAGGTGTCCCCCACAGGTCACAATGGGACATTGAGGATCTCTCTTCAAGACTTCAGGGAGGGGAGGAGGGAGTCTTCCAGGTAACTACACCTCCCTACCCCCAGGTTTCTAACATTCTGGCTTCAAATACCCATGGATAATCACCTCCAGTTTTTTCCTGGCTTCACAGGTGCCTAGGTTATGATCTCTGTGAGCCCAGGGCCCAGCAATGCTGCCTGCTTCCCCCATCCTCAGAAGAAAAAGAATAATTTCCCCAGGTAAAAATGGATGCATCCAGGAAACCCAGCACAGAGATTTCATCTGGGAGCTGAGAACTTTGGCCCAGAATGGGCCAAATCTGACTTCATCCATGGGTTCAGTGAAATGACAGTGCATGAAGGCAGGGACTGTTTGTCAGTGTCTTTGCATCCTCAACCCCTAGCACAATGCTTTGCACATAGTTTAATTCAGCAAGCATTTATGAAGTCCCTACTATGAGCCCTAACCTAGCTTGGACTAACACTGAGTGAGGAGGACTACAGGGCCACAGATTCAGAGCTGGAAGGGACCTAAGAGGCCATTCCATAGAGGAGGAAATGGAAACCGAGGCCCAGACAGTAGCTATCCCAAGGTCATACAGGTAATAATCAAAAGGCTTGATATTTGAACATAGGCTTTCTGACCATTGTATAAGTAGCACAGAACACTCAGTATTATTGTCATCATTACCACTGTTATTTTTACTATTAAGCTGGGAGAGGTAAAGAGTGGGTAAAGGAGGATCTTTACCTCCCTGAAAGGAGCCCTTCAGCTCTGGGGGTGCAGCTTCACTCTTCTTAAAAGAAGCAGGAGGTTTTAGTGCCAAGGAGCAGCCCTGCCCCTAAAGGCTGTCAGTCCTATCTCTGGCCTTTGCCCTACTCAACTTTCACTCTGTTCCCAGGGCCCCGGAGCCAACTCCAGGGAGCCCAGTGCTGCCTGCTCGACCAATCAGCAGCTTGGCTTATGAGGCAGGGACACTCAACCAGGGGAGTGACTGGGCCGGGGAGGAGAGAAGCCAGGCCCCAAGGTGTTAGGAGAGGAGAGGGGGATGGATGGATGACTCAGCAAGGCTCCAGGCACAGCCTGCAATCTACCTTCTCCTGGCCCTTTCCCCTGCCCCATTCTCCCTCCCCCTGGAGGTTTCCAGAATCATTTTTAGTCTCTGATGGAAAAAAGCTTGAAGGGCAGTGTGTCCCAAGTGTGATATAGCTGTCCTGAAAATCCCTTCTTTAAATCAGAGACTGTTAAAGATGGAAGGGACCTCATTTTCCTAATTTGTAAAGGAAAGGGGTTGGACTAGACTATCCCCAAGGGCCAGAGACGGGAAGAAACTGATTCTGAATCCTACAGGACCTCAGGAATGTCATTCTGAACATCACTTTACAATATATTATGCCAGCTTAATTTATATTCTTTTACTTTAAACATGTAGTACTTCATTTACTTCTTCCTGTTTTATTAACTTAGAAAAATTGGGCAAGAGAAATGTGGAAGTGAGGTGGAGCATGCCTCTTCTCCCTATGTAGAGGGATACAGATACAGAACAAGGCATGCATGTATGACAGAGGCCCCATCTTAATTTGTTTAGCTTAACTACAATTTTTTGTTACAAGGGGGGATTCTATGAGGAGAGCATTTACTGAGAAATGAGTGATTGTGAGGGGGAAAAGAATCAACAAAATATTTACTTAAAAAAAAAAGAAAGCAAAGCAACTCTGAATTGAAGGAGATCTAATGGGAGAGCGCCTTGAAAGGATGACAAGAAGCTACTGGAAACCAATGGCTGTGACCCTGTCATCAGACCACAGGTTTAGAGCTGGAAGAGGCTTGAGAGGCTAAAGCCCTCAATGAGGAACCAAGGCACAGAGAGGTTAGGCAACTTGTCTAAAATCACACAGGGATCCAGCCTGAACCTTAAATCCTGCACTCCTTCCACAGCACCACATTGCCTCCTGTTAACTGTCCTTGTCATTCAGTCATTGCAGTTGTGTGACCTCATTTGGGGTTTTGTTTGCAAAAGACACTGGAGTGGTTTGCAATTTCTCCAGCTCATTTTACAGATGAGGAAACTGAGGCAGGCAGAGTTAAGTGACTTGTCCAGGGTCACATGGTTAATAAGTATCTCAGGCCATATTTGAACTCAGGTGGTCACATAGCTAATACGTATCTGAGGCCGGATTTGAACTCAGGTCCTCCCTACTCTAAGGCCAGCTACTAAATTATGTATCCCTTGGGGGAAGAGACCTGTGTCATCCAAAAACTTTGTATCTCTGCCCATCCTGGCTGACCCCTCATCCTCTGCCCACATGAGGTGCTTAAGGAAGTTTTAGGTTTTTTATTTTAAAGAAAAAAGGGCGGCGCAGTCCTGGATTCAGGCAGACCTGAGTTCAAATCTGCCTCAGACACCTGACACTTACTAGCTGTGTGACCCTGGGCGAGTCACTTAACCCTGACTGCCTTGTCCGTCCCCAAACAACAACAACAACAACAACAACAAAAAAGCCTAGGTAATTCAATGCAACCAAGTGAACTCAACATTCAGGCTATATTACGCACCACGCATTGTGCTAGGCACTGGGAATACGCAAATGTGGAAAAGAAAGTGAAATTCATCTACGCTCACACAATTAGCTGTAGAGCCAAACCTTGATCTCGGGTCCCTGGCCTCCTATGTGTCTCCTACTTTCTCTTGATCCCCCAACACCGTTCCCTCTCAACCAGCACACAGAACCCAGCATGGGAATGAAGGTTCAGTGAATGCTGCTCTCTCCGGCCTGGTCAAGATCACCCTTCAAAACACAATAGAAATAAACTGTTCTTTCAGAAAATAAATCTTTTCTTTTCCATCCAGGACAGTGCATTGTCCGATTTCCTCTTTGATTACCTCTCTGGCTGAGCTCAGAGCCTCAGGTAGTTCACAGTTCACCCAGGTCCAGGGGGTCTCTTAACAGAGAGGTGTGAAGTGTAATCTTACTCACCTCAGGTATCCACAAGGCACAGCTGACATGTACCCACTTGGTCCCGCTCCGTGTTGGTTTCAGGGCTCCTCCCCTTTTGGGGCACAGTAGACATCTGGGTTGGACACCCAGGGCACAAGTCCGGCAAAGCCAGCTTCCTGTGGGGACTTTGAGGATCCCATAGCAGGCCTACACCCCCATAGGATTGGAGAGGAAAGCACAAGGTCAGTCATCAAGCCCCAGTCCAGCTTTCCCACTCAGTCTCAAACACCCCAGAAATGACTGGTACAAGACTGCCCCACTAAGAATTCTGCTATGGTGGCAAGAGACCTGTCTGCTACCAACTTCCTCATCAAATGGGCCATGGACCACTTCTCCCCAGTGTCCTGAACAGGGACACCTGGAGGTCACTTTATGGGGTCCACTGTTCCAATGCTTTCTCTATCGCCTATGATTCACCAGGGCAGGGGTTGGTGAGCTGGAGACAGTTTCTAGGTCACAAAGGCAGAGAGGACCCGTGGAAGACATAACTGGCCTCCCACGAAGAGCTCATTTCTAGGTGAGGGGGTGAATCATGGCAGTTCCATGACCAAACACACAGTCTCACATATGGATACCCTAGAGTACTGTCCGACACGCACTACAAAACCTCTTTCTCATGCAAATCTCTTTTTCATGCTCTTTCCCATTGTCTTCTTTCTCTCACAGGATGATGTTTCACTAACAAATTTAAAGACTCATACACCTTTACCCTGTACAGGCACAATTCAACATGCATCTCTCTCTCGCACAGTCAGTCTCATTGTCTGAGGCTCCCTTGATGCTCATACCAGTGTCCCCACCTTCCCCCTCCTCATGCGCTCACTGAATGATGCTCATTCTTGTTCTGTGTGGTCCAGGGCCTGGCCCGGCCCAGCTGGAGCTCACCTGATGAACACACACATTGCACTTGTCACAGAACACCATCTCGTTGCCATCCTCGCCCTCCGGTGAGCGGCACACATCACACACGACATCCTCATCATACTCAATGCCCAGCCCTTCCTCGGTCTCGATGGCCATGTTCATGTTCTGGTGGCACAGGGTCTCTAGCTCCTCCAGCACCCTCTCCATGGTCATCTCGTCCAACTCTGGCTTTTCTGGGGAAAACAGAAAGAAGTTTCTAAGAAGGAAGACATAAGGGGAGGATCCCTGTTGGGGCCCAGATAAGTCTCCTAAGGGAAGTGATGATCCTGGGGAAAAGGAGAAGCCATTCCTTGGAAGATGTGAAGCCAAGCTTCAACAGGCAAGGGATATTTAGGAAACATATAAAGAACTTCTGGTTTCCATGCCTGCCTGTCACCAACTGGCTATGTGACCCTAGAGAAAACATGAGATAGTGGAAAGAGCACTGATGTGGAATCAGAGGACCTGTGTAAAAATCTCTGCCACTTACTAGCAATACCTTGGACAAGCCATTAAAATTCTCTGGGCTTAAATTTCCTTGCCTAAAAATCTAGCTGGTTAATCTAGATCAGTGGTATTCCTACAGGCTGTGTATTAACTTAGAAAACTACAAATTCACATTATCTATATTATGTTGTATTTTCACTTATTTTGTTAAACATTTTCCAATTACATTTTAATCTGGTTTGGCATCTTGGGAGTTTGATGCCTCTGGGCTAAATGCCCAGTAAGGTCCCTTCTAGCGCTGAGATTCAATCCTTAGCTTTGCTTGGAGTATGCAGTTACCTACTGGTGGCTGTAGATGCTCAGAAAAGTTTCTGTAAGTAGGCCACAACAATCCCCAAGAATGAGAATGACAAACATCCGTCTGGATTGTATTTGGCAGGAGGTAGGCAGATGCCTGGAGATCCCCATCCCCAGGCTCTTCTCTGGGTTGGATTATACATTCAAATAAACATCTATTGAGTACTGGCTGTGCTGAGTACTTATATCCAAGGTACTGGATTGAGATGAGTGATTTGGATAAGATGTGGTCCCTGCCCTCTTGGAATACACCCTCTTTTTCTAGGAGAATACTCTCAGGCACAGACAACGTAATACTCAATCCAAGATAGATTCTCTTGTAGGAACTGGGACTACTAGCTCTTACGTAAACACACACTGGATTTTCCTACTGCTACACCTTTGTTTGGAATGCCTTCCCCTCACCTTTGCTTACCTTAACTCAGACTTCAAGGCCCAGGTAAAACTGACTGACTGATGCATTCATTCATCAAATATGCATAAAGCACAAAAGATGTGTGCTAAGTGTAGTAGAAGAGGCAGCTATGGATGGAATAACAGATAGAAGACCTGGGTTCAGGTCCTGCCTCTTATCCATATTGGCTGTGTTGCAAGCAGGTACTCATCTGTAATGGTAGAAGGAGTTGCCCGCACCAATGAAATCACAGGTCTTGTCCAAATTTTATTTTTGCATACCTTTGTGCTAGGTGCAGGGGAAGATACAAAGCATATAGTTCCTGTTGCTTTCATGGAACTTACAGTAGACTTGGGATGTGAAGCTGGGTAGATTTTCCATCTCAGGGTGATTTTCCCTTCTGAACTTATGTGACTCTCAGGGGCCTCCCATCCTAAGGTGTTCCCTGCTCCTGTAATTATTTAATCACCCACTGAGGAAGGTATGGATAAATGGAGATGTGTAGGCTGTCATGAAGGGCTGAGTGAGGGATCCCATTCAGCAGCATGAGTTTCAAGGTACAGTGGAAAAAGGCAGTGGATTTGGAGAATCAGATGACAAACAAGGAGTGACTGCACTGTGCAATGCACGCTCACATGGTACAATGGAAAGATCACTGGATTTGGATTCTGAGAACCTTGGTTTAAATCCTGGCTCTGCCATCTACTATCTGTGTGATCTTGGGCAAGTCACTTAATCTCTATGAGCCTCAGTTTCTCCAACTGTAAAATGATGATGGATAAGGTCCCTTCTAATTCTAAATTCATGATTCTATGATTTTTCTCCCCTATTGCTGGCTGGGGTCGAGTCAGGCTTGGGAACCAACTTGCCCAAACAGGGAAATCCAACTCAATATTGTGAAGGAAAACAGATACTGAATTGGGAGACCTGGATAAGAGCCCCAGCTCTGACTCCCCCTAACTGTGACCCTAGGAGAGTCACTTAACCTCAACTGACCTCATAAGGCTGCCATGAAGAAAGTGCTTTGTAAATGTAACAATACTGTCGAAGTGTGTTATTATTCATCTTAACTATCACAACACCAGCAGATAGCTCTGCACAGCATCCAGGAAAACTTGGGTTCAGATCTTAAATCTGCCACATACTCACTGTGATCCTAGGCAAGTCATTTCATTTCTCAGTGTCCTAGGTCACTCTCAAAGACCATCATTAGGTACCAGTCTGCATTGGCAGGAGTCTCCTTATTATGAATTCCTTATGAAATCCAAGGAGATCACAGGGTCTGGTCCAAAAACACTTCACTTCAAACAAAACCATCCACCCCTCCAGAGTGATAACAGTGGGAAAGAGCTCTGGACCTAGAGTAAAAAAACCTGATTCTGGGTCCTGGCTCTGCCTTGTGACCTTGGGCAAGTCACCCCCACTCTGGTAGCATGAGTTTCCTTATTTGTAAAATGAGGAGAGTAGCCTTCTCTGACTATCCTCCCAAATTGGGTAGCAGCATCAAATGAGGTAATGAATGGGAAGCGTTCTGAGACTGAGAAGGAATGAAGCCATTATCAGTAAAGCCTGATATCCTGATTTACCAAACTCCATCTCTGTCTCCACTTCTTCCCTCTTCATTCAACTCTCACCTCTCCTCAGTCCAACCTAGCATTCCTGAGGCCAAATTCATTTGGTTTATTTCTCCTGTCCTTTCCTTTGATTCTTTTATAGTTAAGAGCCTAGAATCTAGAGGAACAAATCTTCCCCCATTGATGAACACAAGTTTTTAGACAAAGCTGGTCTGGGTCACAGGGCAATCGCGGGGAGGGCAGATTTGGAGCAGAGAGGCACTGTCGCATCCAACAGTTCCCAGATCTTCTATCCAACATGTGGCTGGTAGGCAGGTGTCAACCTAGACAGGCTGGAGGGACTAGCCTTCAAGTGACATTTCATATCAGGAAGGTCAACAGGTTTGAACCAAAACAGCAAATTCCTGGCCCCTCTTAGCTGTTGCTAAGGTCTGGCCATACTATGCTTCAGAGCTAGAAACAGGTAAATTAGGAGGGGAGAAAAATTCCATCCCATTGAATGTGCACAGCTAAATACAACCTAACAGCTTAAATGCTAGAAGGCCAAGTCTCTCAAAGATGGACACTAATTCTCAAGACATGGAAAACTGACCCTTTTCAGGTCAATTAAATAGAATTGTAAGTTTGATTCCAAAAGCTCCAATTCAGCACAAATTTCAACTCTCACCCACTGTCTATTTCTGCTCAGTTCCAATATAGTGAAAAATAGGTTCGTTATCTCCTCTTTCAGACTCTGAGGAGCTTCCAACTTTTTTCTCCCAGTTTTCCTATCATTGGCACAGTTACTCGTCATACATACAAGTACAGGTGGGAACACACCTCTAGAATTCAATAGGTTCATCTCCCTGCCTTTAAGGAAGGCCACATACAGGGTAAGGAATTTCCATAATCTCCTTTAGTAATTAATTCCAATGTTCTTCATAAATCTTACCTGAATCCTCTAACACTGCCATAATAATAATAATAATAATGATAACAACATCATTTGTATTTTAGTGGTTTATATCAGTTATCTCATTTGACCCTCAACAACTCTGTGAGGTAGGTGCTATGATTTTCATTTTAAATAGGGAAACTGAGGTTCAGAGGGTTTTTTTTTGGGGGGGTATATTATTTAATTTAAAATAAATAAATAATAAATAAGTAAAATAATAAAATAAAATAATAAAAATAAAGTAAAATTTAAAATAAAATAAAATAATTGGGCTTATTTATAAAAAAAAACCTGTGTAAACTGTAAAGCACTACTACAAAGTGAGTTGTGGTATTACAGAGAGCAAAAAGGCTAACAGAAGCAGTGGCAGGTAGGAAAAGGAAAGTACATGGTGTATGTGGTTTTGGGGGTGGGAGACAGGGGGAACTTGCATTATTTGGTGAACTGCAGGTTTCTTCTTTTCACACCATTTTCTGTACCCCAAAGACCCCTTCAATGGCTGGGTTGGCATCTCCTCACCCGGGCCTGCCTGGGCCAAACTCTCCCAAGCAGCTCCATGGCCCAGGAGCCTTTCAAGTTGTATGAGTCACCGGGCTGGATCAGGCAGAGGCCTGGTGGGACCTGTCTCATTGCTGCTGTAGAGGTTCCCCCCCTCCCAAGTTATAGGCCTCAGAACCGTCCCCTATTCCCTTGGAGGCAAGCCCTCCTTAATCATTAACCCTTTGAAGCAGAGAAACACCCACTGCCCTTCTCCAACAGGGAAGCCCAAAGTGAAGAGCTCAAAGCAGCCAGTTTCTCCTCCTGCTCCGTGCCCTGTTTTCTTTCTTCAGAACTTGCCATCTTCAGCAAGGAAACAAGGAATAAGAGCTCAAACGTACATAGCATTTTAAGGGGAGGAGAACGCTTTCATTGCAACCACCCCCACCTCCCACAGCCAGGGGCTTTTAGTCCTGAAGATATGGAGCTCGTACCAGAGAGCTCCCTGCAGCCTCCCACAGCCAGGAAGCACAGCAGACCTTCCCCAGGCTGGCGTTAGGAGGGAGGATGCTCTCTCCCTCCCCCCCACTTCCTGTTTGCCCCTACTTCTGACACTCAAGTTCACTATGTTCTGACCTCCTTCTCTGGGAAAGTTCCCCTCTCAGATACTGTGCCCTACTAGTGCCAGAGGCAATGAACTGATGATGACAATAGCCAACCCGATTCCAAAGGCTTTAAGGATCATAAATAACAGCTCTGGGAAAAACATTTGAGGAACATGGGACCTAGAATGGGCCCCAGAGGCCATCTGGTCTAACCTCTTCCTTTGAGAGAGGAGGAAACTGAGGACCAGAAAAATGAGATGATTTGCCCCTGGTTCTCATAAGTGGTATCAGAGGTGAGATTTGAACCCAGGACCTCTGCTTCTACAGCCAGTGCTTTTCCCACTGTGATGTTTCCTCTCCTTCCTCGGGAATCATCTTGACCAACCTCTTCATTTTAGAGAATGGA